CCTTCTAGTAGATTGCTTTTTTTGTTGCTTAGAATTTTAATTACCTATAATCCTGTTCATCAATTCTTGGGATTTCTTGTGCTACTTTTTATTTTTAAAAACAATCCTTGCATGGGTCTCTTATCTTGAGGATTTTAGGATTTTTAAGGCCTATACTTTTGTCTAGCAATTTCAAAGTTTCAGATCTTATGTTAAGAGAGAAAAAAAAAAAAGTAATAGAGCAGTTTCTTTCCGGGTCCTTGAAAATCAGAATGCTAGTTACACCACAGTGGAGGGTCAGTGGAACCACCCTGTGCAGAGAAGAGTCCATGCCATTGGGACCAAATAGGTCCCAGCCCAGGTTCTGAGCCTTTGGGTTAACTTGGGTACAGCCAGATGCTCCCTCACCTCGAAGGCTACAGTCCCAGAATAGTTGAGAACGTTTGGGAGATTCACACTCTAAAAATATTTCCATTTCTCATGTGGGTAAGATAACGCAGAAGAGTGACAGTGGGTTACTAAGAATGTAGCTCCTTCCTTATGTAACTCTGGTAAAAATAAAGCCTGATCTGGGCCAAAAAAGGGTTGAGAAAGAAGAGGGTGAATAAATGGTCCTGGCAAGTCATTGTTTACAGACTGGTCAGGGGCTAGGGAACTTGGAGTTGTGGTCAGGGTCCATCACTTGATCTCCCAGTCCCTATGGCTACTGGCAGAAACCACCTCACTATCTCTTAATCAAATGTGTCTAGTGTCAGCTGATAGAAGACAGATACAGCAAAATGGCCCACTCCCTGTTGCACAATGACACACTGGTAACACTGGAGCTCATGGATGCTGGGATAGGCCTTAGTACCTACAGTGAGGACCACTGGGTAGGGCCAAGCTACTACAGGACACAGAACCTCGATAGCACTGTGGATGGTACCTCACCTCTTCCAGCCACTGCCCCTCAGGGTCTCAGTGGGAGTCCAGGGCACCCTTCATGCCCACCTCCATGCAATGTCCCTGTTGTCACTGCTGTATGTTAAGACGCCTGCTCTCTGCTGGGGTTACTTGCTGTGTAGCTTCCTGACTGAAATTCTTATCACCGACCTGGAGAGTAGACCTCTTCCTCTACCAAACCCCCCTCCCCACAGCCTATCTGCCATAGGACAGGGGCCTGCAGGCTGCTTCAGGGCCTGAAAAGCTAAAAGTACTCTGGGCTCTGCCCCCAGCTTCTGTGTCAGTGCCTTCTCTTAATAACAACCCCTCATCACCCCTCCATGTGGACTCTGCCTTGGGTGTAACTCCTTCCCCCTGAAGCCTTCTGGGACCCAGAAGGGAAATTGTGCATATCAATTATTGTGATGGTCAACTTCCCTGGACTGAGAAGTAGCTAGGAGACTGGTGACACACAGCCCTGGGTGTATCTAGAGGAGTTTTACAGAAAAGCTGAAGAGAAGAGCCCAACTGAGCATGAGGGGCATCATTCCGTGATCTGTGGGCACATTCCTTCCCTCTTCCTCTCTCTTTCACTGGCTATCGGGTAGCATGTGAGCCTCTGCCACACCCTCTTCTCCATGGTAGACTGAGACCTCTGCTACCATGGGCCCTAGATCCTCCCTGAGATGCTTTACAAACTGGTCAGGGGCTGGGGAACTTGGAGTTGGATCGGGTATCTGTCATAGGAATGGAAAGTCTAACATAAAGGGTAAAAGACAGAGGATCTGGGAAGCCATAGTCTTCAGACACTGAATGGTTGCGTGGCTCTCACATTAATCACTATAACACTGTGCCATAATAGTTTTGATTTCCTTTTTTTTTTTTCTTTTTTCTGTTGCTGGGGACAGGATCCCAGGCCTTACCTGTTAGGCAAAGCATTATACGACCAAGCTTCAGCCCTTTGTACAGTTTAAGCAACTTGTCTTTGTTGAGAAAGTGTCCTGCAAAATGTGTTTATGTGTATGCGTATATTGCCTGCATGTAGGTAAGTGCACCCGTGTCGTGTGCAATGCCCGCGGAGGACAGAAGAGGCTGTTGGATCCCCTGGAACTGGAATTAGCTGTTAGCTGCCATGTGGGTACTGGGATTCGAACCTGAGTCTTCTGCAAGAACAGCCAGTGTTCTTAACCGCTGAGCCATCTCTCCAGCCCAACATAATCTTTGTTGCTGTTTGAGACAGGGTCTTCGTATACAGAGCAGGCTGGCCTTGCACTCACAGAGATCCTCCTGTCTCTGCTGAGTGCTAGAATTAAAGGTGTGTACCACCACACCCAGATTAACATCCTTACAATAAAATGGGGGGGGGGGGTTGTACATGTATGCCACAGGTCACCCTCTGGTGTCATTCCTTAAGCCTTGATTCCCGGGGCCTGACAAATGCTTTCTCCTCATGGCACAATCACCGCCTCTGCTGCTCTCTGCTGTCACTAGTAACACAAGTGAGTGGGCTCATGTGAAGCACCAGGGTCTCTAGCCATGCCACTATATTGACTGTGCTCCATAATTCATGGCATCACTGTTGAGCTGACTAGTCCCCACATTATGGTACCATCAGTTCAACCTTCCCCACTTTTACAGAAGATCAGGAAAGGGGCACATGGCAGCTGTTGTCTACACTTGTGTCCCTGTGTCACTGCCTGATACAGTCGGTATTTCCAAATGTCTCAATGAACAACACTAAGACCATAAACTAGAGTGAGGAAACTATACTTAAAAAGGCATGAAGATCTTGCTGAGACACTGCTTTGACTCAGTGCAGAGCAGAGTGAGGAACAGGGAACTGTCCTCAGAGGAGAGTAACACAAGGAGCCACGGAAACACCAGTTCTCTTTATTAACAATACGTTTTAAGACCAACTTTGAAACCACAGAGTTCTGTCATGAAACCTAGGAAAGCAGACACTGCCCTCGAGAGAAGCATCTTCTACCAGGGCCTTGGCCTGCCTCTGTGGGGTTTCTCAGAAGCCAAGTGCAGCATCTTAGAGAAAAGCACTGAGAAGCCAGGGTAGGGAGAGAATGGAAGCAGGGCGGAGAACCTAGCCCCTCCTATTCACATATAGACATCTGTCTACATACACTATACAGATAAATGTATATAATCACAGGGTTTGTACAATTCAGTACTTTAAAAGTACACAGGTAGAATTTACACTTCGGCATTACCAATTTTTACTTTGGATTCAAGTGAGAATTTTAGGTCCCCAAATAATTTACAATTAGGAAACGGAGGGCCTACAGCAGCACATATATCCTGATCCTCAAAACTGGAAGTGTGGGTGCTACTGCTCCCACATCATTTATAACAATTCAACAGCAAATTGGTGCATAAAGCTCTTCTGCACCCATCAGTCTGTACACCAAATTTCACTAACTTCATGATAATCTATATTCCAAGGCTGTGTTTTCAGCATCTACTCATCTTCATCAAATGCCATCCCCAGCCAGCAACACCAAGAAGTAAAGTGCATGGCACACAGAGGGCGGCCATGTGCACCTGGGCTACTCACACAGCAACAGAAAGGAGAACAAAGTGACAGATCTTACATGACAAAGACGGATGCAGCTAATCTGAGCCACACTGCATGTATAAAAGGAATACATGTCCAGGCGTGGTGGTCCATGCCTTTAGTCCCAGCACTCGGGAGGCAGAGGCAGGTGGATCTCTGTGAGTTCAAGGCCAGTCCTGGTCTCCATAGTGAATCCAGGACAGCTGGGGCTACAGGGAGACCCTGTCTCAAAAAGACAAAAAAGTATGACAACTATGAAAATCAATATATGCACTAACATAAAAGTCAGTTTAAAAAAAAGCCTTTGAAAGTATGGCTGTTTGCTCTGTTTAAAAAAAAAAAAAAAAAAAAAAAACAACCCAAAAAACATTTGATTACCTGGAAAAACAAACTGAAATTCTAGGCTTTCTCCTAGAATATTGCAAATGTTCATCAAAGTTAATTAGCATAATAAAGCTGATCACCAGATGACTGAGTAAACAGCATGTCACATGAGTAAAATTACAAACAGACTCTGGGACTAGAAGCTACCAGCAAAATACCCAGAATCTGAGTGAACAGGTACATGATACTAATAAAACTGCCAGTGTTCATACAGGTGACCATCACAGGGGTGTCCCCAACACAGAGGCTCCACCAGGCAGAAGTCTTTCAACACCTTAAACCTGTGAGTGTGGTGCTGGAGACGCCTTTGGATGCTGGTGACTCCTGCTATTCTCTGCAAGGCCCTCTTCGTGGTGCTTAAGTCGTCCTGGCAGGAGCTCCCTCATTCCTTCTGTCCCTCCCACAGCCTAGAAGAAGGAGGTATCCGAGGAAAAGGCACCCGCGAGTCTGAAGTCTTCCTTAGTGAGCACGCTGTACATGCGCTGTGGCAGGGCTTTGGAGTAGGGCGCTGGCCGTGGCACAGTGGCCCTCAGGATGAGCTCCCGGCCTGCAGGAGGTGGGAAGTCCGACACTGAGTTCTGTCTTCTCTCCTCAGGGCAGCCAGGCCGCTTCACGTCCTCCTCTGGCAGAGCAACCGCTGCAGCCTGAACAGAACCAAATGCCGAATTCAGTAACAAGTCAAACGCAAAACTACTTCTGAAGGGTGGATGACTAAACACGATAAACACACATGTCCTACATCACTCAGAAATGTATTATGTCCACTATGTGTTATGATTACTTTAAAACAAAGCAGGAAGCTGAAAACTTCGTGAGTGCGAGCGGGAGCGCTGGACAGGCAGAGGGGACTGCAGGCACTCTGCTCTGAAAAGCCAGGGGTGTCGTGGCATCGGAACTCATGGAGCTGCACTGGTGACTGCAGTTCTTCAGGCAGTGACTCAAGTCCAAGTCAGACTTCCCCGGGCCAGAAAGGAGTGCTGCTCTGAGTCTGGAAAGGTGATTTTTATCTCTACTCTCTCAATCCTTTTTATAAGGTTCACTTGCCAAATTCGAACCCGGAGCACTGGCCTTGTTTGCTGGGCAGCTAATGTGACAGCTGACAGATCCACACAGCAATGGCCACAAAAGAAAAGTATTCAAAGTATCAGGCTTTAACATTAAACTGCACAAAATGCACCCCAATTGGAGCCTTCATTTAAACTATGATCATGGTTCTTTCATGATGCCATCGCTCTGGAAAACTTTGGGCAATGGAAACATGAAGTCACATTAAGCTGAACAGCCAAGAGGGGATGCCAAATCTAGCCCGTTAGAGAGGCGGTTAGTTCAGATGACCTTATGGAGTTAAAAGTATGGGGGGGACAGGGGACGAGGAACTATGAGGGACAAAGGCCATTTTGTTACCTCATCTGAAGATTCAGTCAGCTTGAGAAAGGTGAGAAAAGAAAGAGTGATGAAAGGGAACGAGCGAGGTGGTTAAGGAGCGGGCAGTTCAAGACAACGTCAGGGACAGCATGCACTGCATCAGGGGCATGACTCCACTGAGAATACTGATGGCACCAAACCACCCAGGTTGTCGACACAGCAGACGCCTCTCGGCTCCTGCATCTGATGGTCCAACAGGCAATGTACAGGGTCATTTAATGAGGAAATGACTGAAAAGCCTCACTTTCTGAAGATGCTTTAAAAAGGAGTTCATGGTTGACAGGTTAACTAGTGAATTGAGAACAGGCATCTAGGAGTTATTCAGCTTTTAGCAAGACTGAAGCAGAATCCAGTCATTTTTATGGAAGTCCATTTAAATGTGTACATACCAAATCCTGTAGAGTCATGATTAAATTTATTACTGTTCGTTTTATGTGGGGGGGGGCATGAATATGCATATGCTCATGCCACAGTGCTCATGTGGAGGTAAGAAGACCACCATGTCAGGTCTAGGGACTGAACTCGGGGCATCAGTTTGGTAGCAGGTGACTTTACCCACTCAGCCATCTCACTGACCTTATAGTTTACAATTTTAAAGTTCTAAATATTTAAGTTAAGGCAGATATGTGTGAGATAATAGGCCAGCCTGATCTACATAGTTCCAGGCCAGCTGGGGCTATACAGGGAGACCATGTCTCAAAAACAGCAACAAAAAACTTCATTAGTAGAATTGGTCTCATGAAAAATTACGTGAATAAAACAGCGCACTGAAGCTAGATAGTTAAGAGCTGAGTTAAAAACATTTAAGCGAGCTGAAAGCACTCACTACCAGGCTAGACTCACTACCAGGCTAGACGATTAATTCACAATTTCAGGGTCCATAAAGAAGAGGACCCTAGAAAAACAGCATATTCCTGTCAGATGATAAACAACAGCCTAAATGGGAAATAATAAAGCACATTAATATCCTATTTTTATAGAAAATGTATTTGTATGCAACAGATGTTAAACGCTGACAGGATTATGTAATTTTTATTTTTCTAGTTGCTATGTTGTCAAGGGGAGGGACTGAGGAGGCTATTTCCAGTTTAGGGGAGTAATTTTGACTAGCCAAAACAAGTGGCACTCAGCATTCAAAGTTCTAAACACTTCCTATTTTAAAGCCTTTCAACACACATACAAAAGTCAGAGTAAAGAGTTTTTGCAATATGAGGACAATTCATGTCAGGGCTTAACAAGGATGCCTGTGAGCTTCTGTGTAGTACGCTGGTGAATACGCCGAAGCCTGAGAGTCCAGTCTTGGTTTCAAGCCAGAGACAAAAATGAAATTAAAATTGTTTCCTAGAAGTCTAATCTATAAGCAAAGGAAAAAAACATCAGTCTTTAGCTTGAAAAATTTAGGGAGATAGTCCATAAATAGTATCAATTTTTAGCTACTGACAAAAGTTCGGAACAATATATTTGACTTATGATTCTGAGTATCTCAGTAGTGACTATAATACTGTTAGCCCATGTGTACAACAAGGAAAATTCTTACTATGTTGAGAATAACCCTCTGAAGGCTGAACTGGGTGTTTTTAGTGTCATCTTGATCCAAGTAGGAGAATCCATATTTTAGTGTACATCATAAAACTTTCACCAGACTCCGGGTGTGGCAGCACACGCCTTTAATCTCAGCACTTGGGAGGGAGAGGCAGGCGGATCTCTGTGAGTTCGAGGCCAGCCCGGTCTACATAGAAAGTTCCAGGCAGCTGGGGCTATGGGGGGACCCTATCTCATTAATATGCTCTGATACAAGAATCACCTTCGGGTGCCAGTGAGTGCATGGAGCATACATGTGTGACCAGCACTTCTTAATCAGTAACCAGGGTACTATATAATTTAACCTCCCACTTTCATTAGTGGAGTTAATGATGAAGATAATTTTCCAAATTGGGCTGTTAGCTGAAGCCTGTTTCCATAGTCCTAAGATTTCCTTTCAGGAAAATCTCCACTATTACCAGAGAAATTAGATTTATAATTTAGGCTGAGCTGTGAAGTCACTTCGAAACACCTGGGGTTTAAAGATGGTAAAACTGAGCTCTATTCTAATTTGAAAGCTGTAAACATGTTTTACTATAGCAGAGCTCTATGCCTTGCTAAATGAGTCCCTTCTAGCTTCTAGAACAATATATCTAAAATCTTTCTGTTTTCCAAAATTAAGGTTTAGAATATATATCATTTTACTTATGTAGAAAATCTCAAAATCATAGAAGTCCTGTTTCTTTCCAACAGCTGTATGGGACTCATGCCATACTGGGCAAAGTGGGCAGTGCTAACAGCCAGGAAGGAATTTCACATACCCGCTGGGCGTTCACAAACAGCTTATGGATGATGCGGCCAGCGTGTCCTCTTCCTGCCCCAGTGACTGACACTTCAGGCTGCTCTAGCAGGCAGCTGACAAACCTAGCAGAGGAAAAGTGGAAAAAAATGAGGCTGTTTAGGCAGTTAGGGCTGCATCCAGGGTGGATCCTGTTGGCAAATCCTTTTAAACCCATCCGTGCTGATGCAGAAACTTCATAGGAAATTTCATAGAACATGACATTTAGGAATAAAATTAACACAGCTGACAGTCTTAAAGTTTTTTCAACTGTTTTCATAAAAAAATATTTAAAAGCCTCTATCATCAAAGTGTAAGAAAAGTATTCATGGCATGTAATGTGTACAATCCTAGAACCCAGGAGGGATAGGTAGGAGTATCAGGATCAGGCATTCAGGGTCATCCTTGGCTACATGGCCAGTTTCAGGCCAGCCTGGAATACATGAGATCCTTCCTCAAACAACAAATAAGTAAATAAAAGGAGGGGTGGGGAATGCATCAGTTGGTAAAGTGTTTGCCTTACAAGCATGAGAACCTGAGTTCAATGCCCAGAACCCAACTAAAAAAAGCCAAGCACTGTAAGCATGCTTGTAATCCCAGTGCTGGGGAGGCAGACAGAGGAAGATCCCTGGTGTTCACTGGCCAGCCAGTCTAGCCTCATCAGTAAGCTCTAGGTTTGGTGAGAGACCCTGTCTTAAAGAAGTCAGACAGCACTGCTGGGATAACACTGAAGTTGTCCTCTGGCCTCTTGTAACACATATGCATGTGCACACATAAAACTCAGCCTGTGGGTCTGGAGAGATGGCTCAGCAGTTACCACTACCGGCTGCTCTTGCAGAGCACCCAAGTTCAGTTCTCAGCACCCACACAGTGGCTAATAACCATCCATAACACTAGTTCCAAGGGATCTGATGTCCTCTTTTGGCCTCCATGGGCATTGCATGCATGTGGTGCACTCACATACATGCAGGCAAAACATTCATACACATAAATTAAAATTCAATCTATTTGCTTTATACTAAAAGCTTAGAAAATATTAAGTATAAGATTTTATAAAGCTCTTTGGACATTCAAACCCAAGTTCTATTTATTCAGCAAAGCAGTAACAGGTATTTCCTGGTTTTGTTTTTGAAGGAATGTGAATGTGCTTAAATATGTTTTGCAGTGTTGCCACAGTAAGCTGAGCCACTGGGTACTGGAATCACTTAACATGGGCAAACGTGAGAATGGGAGGAAAGGCAGAGCCCTACATGGTCTGCTCAGTGGTACATGTAGCTATTTGAGAAATGAATCCCTGAATTAGAACTGCTTATTTGAAGGACTTTTCAATGGCAAAGTGAGCTGGGCAAAATTTTCATTCAATGAAAGATACAAAATTCATACAGCTTCTTAGTGAAAGCTGTAGCAAATACTTTGTCAAATATCATGGCATCAATAATGCCTTTTTCTCATGGAAAAGTAGATGAGAATGGTAAAATTGTGACATTCAAGTCACTAGACAAGCTAGTTCAGAAACACTTTTTTTTTTGTCTTTTTGAGACAGGGTCTCCCTGTAGCCCGAGCTGTCCTAGAACTCACTATGTAGACCAGACTGGCCTGGAACTCACAGAGATTCTCCTGCTTCTGCTTCCCAAGTGCTGGGATTACAGGCGTGCACTACCCCGCCTGGCCTTTTTTTTTTTTTTTAATATTTTTTGAGGCAGGGTCTCCCTGTAGTCCCAGCTGACCTGGAATTCTCTATTTAGTCCAGGCTGGTCTTGAACTCATGATCATCCTGCTTTAGCCTCTTGAGTGCTAAGATTACAGGTACCAAGATTAAGGTACAGCTACCACCAAGTCCAGCTAAATTTACATTTTGTTGTTACTTATTTCAACTTTTCAATTAAGGAATGAATCTTTCTTAGCACCTCTGATAAGTGGTCATTTAAATGTTGAACAAAGGCATCATGGGGTCTAGGAAGCGAGATGCAACAGGGTGCTTAGGAGCAATGGATTTATAGGCTCATGTGTTGCTTTTAACAGAAAAAAAATTCTTTAAAAACAAATTTTTTTACACTTTTTCCTAATTTTTTAAAATTATTTTTATTTTATGTGTATAGGTGTATTGCCTGCATGTAGGTAAGCACACTTTTGTCATGCAATGCCCGCAGAGGACAGAAGAGGCCGTCAGGTCCCTTGGAACTGGAGTTACGGACAGTTGTTAGCTGCCATGTGGGTGCTGGGATTCGAACCCAGGTCTTCAAGAACAACCAGTGTTCTTAACCGCTGAGCCATCTCTCCAGCCCCCAGAAACACCTTTTTACATATTAAAGCAGTATTGACCTTGCAGGTAATGGAAAAAACAATGGGCGGAGTCTCACACTAACAGGCCAAATGCTCTCATAACAGGCCCTCTGCTACCACAAGTACTTTTCAAAATAAAGTAACAAGGAATGCTAACAGATCTGCAGTTTCTGAACATACAACTACATTTTTGAGCATTGTCAGCGAATGGGTTAACAGCCCCTGCCCAGGAAACCCCAGGCACCACACCTCCAGGAGCAGAACACCCTAAACACTCCTGGAGACATTCTGAAAGTGGGAACGATGGAAACACCGACAGGAACTCAGAGCAGAGTTCTAACTCTAGGAGAATTAAGTGTCGCTCCATCTCTAGTCAGAAGAGCAGAATTCTTTCATTTTGCTGTTTGTTTTTGGCAGGGTCTCTCTACATAGCCCAGACTCACATGGAACTCACTATATATTCCAGGCTGGCCTTAAACCTCTTGCCTCAGGCTCCAAAGTGCCAGGATTACAGCCATGAGCCACCATTCCCCAGTCACAGAGCTCTTACCATTTTTCTAAGACTAGTGGCTTTTCCCACTGCAGACAAAGTGAGGTACTCAGGCAACAATTACCTTTCCAGATCTTCCTTTTCTTCTTGTTCACATTTCTCAGTTCCAAACTTGGCCTTTAGGGATCGGGCTCTGGCTATTATAGCTTCTACATTAGTAATCTGAAGGATGATTTCCTAATGGTAGAAACGGGAGACACAAACATTAAGAGACAGCAAAAATACAAAGTCTTTAAAAACACCTTCAGGGGACAGTGAGATGGCTTAGCAGGTAAAGGTGCTTGCCACCAAGCATGATGACCTGAGTGCTGTGGGCCCCAAATGGTGGAAAGAGACAACCAACCAACTCCTGCAAATTGTACTCTGCACACACTCCCCCCAATAAAAAAATGAAAAACCATTAAAAAAACATATTCAGGAGGAACACGGATCTCTGAGAGATCTAGGCCAGCCAGGGCTACAGAGAGACATTGTCTTTTTAAAGTAATCACTGCCAAGTGGGGGAGAACTCTTAGCATACTGTCAAACTTACTTCCAATTTCTTATCTTCAGGATTGGGGAAATGTAGAACTTTACTGGAATGGGCTATGATCTGCTTTATAATCTTCTTAACGGAAGAAATGTTTTCCAGACATTCTATTTTTGGAAAAGATCAAAGCCATTATTAAATAGCGCCAAACATACTTATGTTTTGGAAATAAACTATTGACTAATAAATAGGACATTTACCTTCCTCCTTTACCTTGAGAACAGCTGCATGAATCACACAAGGCAGCAGGTGCCGAGCGAGGTCTGCGGGCTTCTGCATGGCCAGGTAGTGAAGCACCTGAAAAAGACATAGATTACTGCAGGGTCCAAAAATGAAGCAGCATCCCCAGGGCACAGAGGCCAGGCTTGGCTCACAGGAAGGTGGAGAGCAGTGCTCTCACCACCTCCATGTAAGCAGCAGCCATGGCAAAAGTGAAAGTCTGCCACTGACAGCACTTAGGAACTGCACTCTGTGATGAGCATCTTCATACTTTTTTCTGCTTCCATGTTACACATGCAAATTAGGAAAGCAGAGGGCTTTCATTCTACAATGTTTTGCTTTGTTTATTTGAGGCAGGGTCTCCCTGTAGCCCTAGCTGGCCTGGAACCCACTATGTAGGCCAGTCTCGATCTCACAAAGTTTTCCTGTCTCTACCTCCCAAGTGCTGAAATCAAAGGTATGCACAACCACCCATAGTCAATAACTGCTTTTACTTTATTAGCCCATTTATTGATTAGGGTGATGTCTTGTTTAGTTTTGTGAGTTCTTTGTATATTCTAAATATCAATCTTCTGTCAGATGTGGAGCTAGTGAAGATTGAAGTTTTTCAGTCTCATGAGGTCCCAACTGGTCAACTGTTGGCATTATTTCTTAAGTGACTATTCAGAAAGTTCTTGCCTATGCCTAGATCCTCAAGTGTTTTTCCTACTTTTCCTAACCATTTCAAAGTTTTAGGTTTTACATTAAGGTCTGTGATTTAGAGTTGATTTCTATAAATGGTGACATGGATCTACTTTCATTCTTGTATACATGGATATCCAGTTCTCCCAGTATCATTTGTTGAAGAGGCTGTCTTTTCTCCAATGTATATTTTTGTCATGTTTAGAAAAAAAATCTTATGACTGAGATGCAGGAGCTTGATCTGGGTTCTCTATTCTATTGTATTGATTTGTGTGTCTGATTGTGTCAATATCATGTTTTGTTTTGTTTTGTTTTTTGAGGCGCATATCTCATGTAGTTCAAGCTGGTCTTAAACTCCCTATGTAGCCAAGGACAACCCTGAACTTCTAATCCTCTTGCGCCTATCTCCCGAGTGCTGATAGTAAAGGTATACACCACCACTTTTGGTTTTATGTGATGTTAGGGACAGAACTCATGGATTCACACATGCTAGGCAAGCACACTGTCTACTGAATTACAACCCCACGCCCACCATATTGTTTTGTTACTATGGCTCTGTATTATAACTTGAAACCAACTACAGCAATACTTCCAGCATTGGTATTCTTGCTTAGGATTGCTTTGACTGTTGTCAGGTCTTTTGTGACTCCATGTGAACTGTAGCATCTTTTTTCCTATTTCTGTGAAGAATGCCATTGGAAATTTGATGAAGAGTGCACTGATTTCTCTTTGTTCTTCCATGGGGAGCAGTCCTGGAGACATACTGGGCACACACTCTACCACTAAGCTATAGCTACAGCCTCGGAAATTGCACTGACTCTGTAGGTTGCTTTTGGTAGTATAGCTATTTTCAAAACACTAATTTTTCCAATCCACAAGCATGGAAAATCTTATCTTCTATACAATATCTTCTTCAATTTCTTTCTTCAACATTAAGGTTTTCACTGAAGAGGTCTTTTATTTCCTTGGTTAGGCTTTCTTATTTTTTTATTTTATGTGTATGCGTGTATTGCCTGCATGTAGGTTAAGTGCACCCGTGTCATGAAATGCCTGCAGAGGTCAGAAGAGCCTGTCAGATCCCCTGGGACTGGAGTTACAGTTGTTAGCTGCCATGTGGGTGCTGGGATTCAAACCTGGGTCTTCTGCAAAGAACAACCAGTGTTCTTAACTGTTGAGCCATCTCGCCAGCCCCTAATTGTTTTTTTTTTAAATGTATATTCATGTTTTGCCTGCATGCAGTGCCCATGGAGGCCAGAAGAAGGCATTGGATTCCCTGGAACTGGAGTTATGGATGGTTGTTAGCCACGATATAGGTGCTGGGAACTGAACTCAGGCCTTCTGCAAGAGCGGCATGTACTCTCAACTGCTGAGTCATCTCTCCAGCCTCCTTGGTTAGGTTTTATTCCAAGGTATTTTATCCTTGTTGAAGCAATTATGAATAGAATTGTCCCCTAATTTCACAGCATGTTTGTCACTGTCACTGGAATATAGGAAGGCTCCTTGTGTCTTAATTATGTCTTCATTTTGTATTCTGCCAGTTTGCTGAAAGTGTTTAACAGATTTAAGAGTTTTCTGGTAGAGCCTTTAAGGCCTCTTATGTATAGAATCATATCATCTGCAAATAATACTTGGATTCTTTTCTAATTTGTATTACTTTTGATTCTCTTTTAATTGCCTGAAACTAAGGGTTCCAAGCACAATATTTTTTAAAAAGTAGGTACTCTTGGCTTGGTCCTGCTTTGTTTTTCCCACTTGGTATATGTTTCATGGCTTGTTATACCTATAAATATACCTATTATGCTGGGGTATGTTCCTTCTTTTCCTCATCTCTTCATGGACTTTATCATGGAGGGATGTTAGTCTTTTCTATGTCTACTGAGATGATCATGTGGATTTATGTCCTTGAGTCCATTTATGTGACATACTATACTTACTGTTTTGCAAAGGCTGAACCATCCACACATCTCTGTAATAAAACCAGCTTGGTCAAGGTGAATGTTTTATGTGGACGTGTATGCATGTTCAACTGTATGCACATGCCTCTGTAGACCACAGACTGCTATCAGGTGTCTTCCTCAGTTGTTCACAAGCATGCTACGAGACATGCACACACACAAAATAAATGTAAAAATAAAAAAATTTGAAGAATTTAAGACTAAATCCATCAGAGTCTAGACTCTAATTGGATAATATTTTACTACTGCTACAATCTCATTGCATGTTACAGATCAGCTTGGATTGTTAATCTCATGTTGGTTTAACTTTGGTATATCATATACATCTAGAAACTCATTGATTTCTTTTTAGGTTTTAGTGTAGTTTTTAAGCTGGGTCCAAATGATTTTCTGAGCATCACTGGTGTCTATTATATCTGTTTTTCTAATTTTATTAGTTTGAGCCATCTTTCTCTTTTAGTTTAAAGTTGAAGTAAAGGTCTATCAATCTTGTTTTATCTTTTCAAAGAATAAATCTGTTTCACAGATTCTTTTCTAAAATATTTTATTATTTTTATTTTATGTGTATGAGTATGTAAGTGTACCTACATGGTGCAATGTCCGTGGAAGCCAGAACAGAGCATGGTATCCCCTGGAACTGGAGTTATAGACAGTTATTAGCTATCATGTGGATCCTCTGTAGGCAACAAATACTCTTAACTACTGAGCCATCTCTCCAGCCCCTCACTGATTCTTCATGCTGTTTCTGCCCTGACTCAGTCTACTGTTGCTGAGTTGTCCTTTTACCAAGGCCTAAGAGGCACTGTTATCTATTTATTTATTTTTAATCTGACTTTTTAATGTAGGTACTTGTAACTAAAAATTTACCTCTTGGGCTGCTTTCATTGTATCCCACAGGTTTTATGTTTTTAATTTTCATTCTAGAACTGTGTTCTGGTTTGTTTCTTCATTGCTGTGACAAAATACTCACCAATACCAACTTGGGGAGGAAAGGGTTTATTTAACTTACATATCTCGGCTCACAGTTCATCCAGAAGCCCAAGGTAGGAACTCAGGGCAGGAACCCGGAGGCAGGAGCTGGAGCACAGGCCATGGAGGAATGCTGCTTACCAGCTTGCTCCCCTGACCCCTGCTCAGCCTGCTTTCTTATGCAACACAGGCCCACCTGCCCAGGGGCGGCACCACCCACAGTGGGCTGGGCCCTCCCACATCACTCATCAAGAAGATGCCCCTCAGACATGGCCACAGGCCAGTCCAATAGAGGAAATTCCCCAACTGAGGCTCCCCCTACCCAGGTGTGTCAAGTTGACACTAGCTATCCAGCACAAACTACTTTTCTATTTTGATTTTTTTTTATTGTTGTTGATCCACCATCATTCAGTAATGTCCTCTTCAATCGTCACTGAGTATGTTTTTGTCCTGCCATTTCTCCTGCTATGGCATTCTAGTTTTATTCCATCATCATTTGATGGAAAACAAAAAATTATTTCAACTTCATAAGAAGTTTAAGACTTTATGTTAAGACTTGCTTTGTGTCCTGTGTGTGTTAAGACTTGCTTTGTGTCCTATTATTATATATTCTAGAGAAAAATCCACTGGCTGCTAAGAATGTATATCTACATGGAATGCTCTGTAGATATCTGTAAAATCCATTTGATCTATGACATCACTCAACTCAGATGTTTTTCTATTTTTTTTTAATCAAGATGACCCGTCTCTTACTGACAGTAGGTTATTAAAGTCACATACCATTAGTCTTAATCTCTACCTTTACATCTAGTAGTTTCTGTTTTATGAAACTAGGTGCACATGTATTTAAAATTATAATGTCCTCTTTGCAGATTGTTCCCTTAAGCAGCACAAGGGACCTTTATCTCTCTCCCCCCATGTAGTTCTGGCTGGCTTGAACTCAATCTGCCTACCTCTGTGTCGAGTGTGCTGGCATTTAAAGCATTCAAGACCATACCAGTTTTTGCTTTTGAAAGTAGTTCTGTATGTATGTGCTCTGCCTCCTCTATTCTAGAGTCACCACAGTTGGACAGTGTCATCTTCTGCAATTTCTTTGACGGAAAGTAGGCAGTGGGAAGTTAACTGTCTTCTTTTATTCTGTGTAATCCTTAATTTTTCCCTCATACTTACCTTTATGTACCTAAGAGGTATTACTTTTTCTCTCTATGCAGCCATACATCATTTAATGATATTTTTAGTAAATAGAAGTATACTTTAAAATTATAGTAAAATATAAACAAAAAATTATAGTAAACAATATAGTATATACATACCAGTAACACAGGTGTCTATTACCAGATATGTTCACACATGGTTAGATCTGTTCTAGTTTTATGAAGCTATCAGCACAGGTTTTACACTAGCAGCATCAAATATAAGTGTATATATAAATGCCTTGCCCTATGATGTTCTGATGGCTATAACAAGCAAGGCAACAGGACTTTATAATCTTCTGGGACTACCCTACTATCTAATGTCCATTATGACTGAAGCATCATTATGTAGCATCTGAAAATAACAGATTTTTTCCAAGGCTCCACTGTAATGTACCTTGGACCAAGGTAGCTCCCCATCCCTTTTCATGACCTTAAGGATTCCTGCCCCTAACTGCTATATCTACAAGCTTTCAGCAGTGGGAAATTCATTGGAATCTGGCTCATTTCTCTACTTATTGTTAATCTGCAGGTCTCTGTAATCTTTATCTCTGAAGGTACTGGTTTCATGAAGAGAATGTGAGGGGCAATCAGGAACCATGCAGGTGCCACCATCCTCAAGAATTAAAACCAGTTTTATCTTGTTTTTAAAAATATTTATTTTTATGTGTCTGAGTATATTTGCCTGCATGTGTGCAAGTGCACCCGTGTTGTGCAATGCCCACAGAGATCAGAAGAGGGCATTGGGTTCCTCTGGAACTGGAGTTATGGACGGTTGTTAACTGCCATGTGGGTGCTAGGAATTGAACCTGAGTCCTCTGAAAGAGCACCCAGTGCTCTTAACAGCTGAGTCATCTCTTTAGCTGGGGTTTCTCCCCTTTCACTGAACAAGTTTGAACATCACTCATGTACATTGATCTCTGTATTTCTCATTAACAATTCTGATACAAAGTGTGAGACAGTATAATGTATGAGTTGAGTTCTATATAAACTACATCTGTCTTGTCTTTGGCCTATTTGCAACTAGCTTTAAAATCTTAAATGTTAGTATCAGATATACAAAGACTTACTGAATTTCAATGATTTGCTCTTCAAGTATAAAGTTTCATATCTAAGATTTAATAATTACCATTCTAGTATTGAAATCCCAAACTCCCATTACCTTTTCGGCTTCTCGTGTATCATCAAATAGCCTCCTCTGGCGTCTGGCTGGGATTGGTTTAGCTGTTTCCCAGGCTTCCACCCACATGTTGCTGGGGATCTTCATGCGGGCACTCAGCTCTCCCTTCAGAATCACATTGCCCTTTTCATCAGTCACTTCCTCTTCAATGTAGTCCCTGGGTGAGTACCACCTCACAAAATCTTCCAGAAAACAACCTGGATTAGCTGCCTATGGCAAAAGTTTACCAAAGTCAATGTTTACTGATAAGCCTGCTTCCAGAATATTTGCACCAAACAAACAAAAAAACTATCTATAAAACAATCTGTAAAATGAGTTTGTCACATTAAAACAGGAGATGGTGAAGTGCCAAAAGCATTTTATTTTTCTGCTTTATAGAAAAGGAAACCATTTTCATTTGATGAATTTGTAAACTTTGTTATATTGCTTAGATTAAAATTATAGTATTATTCAATATTTAGTGAAACGGTAAACTGACATACAGTAAATTATACACAGCATGATTAGAAGAACACAGAGATAGAAACACTGTATTCTTCTTTTCCTCAATAAATCAATACCAGTGCTGCAATAATTATTGGCTAGCCTCCAACATGTTCTAGTCAGCAATCAAACACTCACTATATAAACTACTTTAGGAACTGAAATCCCACTATAATTTTTCAGGCTTCTAAAAGCAAACATATTACAGTTTCATTCACTGATAATTCCACAGAATTGAAGATATATACCAGAAACTTTTCAGTAATTTTACTTTCAAACATAGAAAATAAAGAGGCTTCACAGTGCCATAGTAAGGCACAGAGGTCTTTTTTTTCAACTATTCAGTACGATTAGTAGAATACTAAGGATTGGTATGGTGAGCACCACTGGTGAGAATGGTCTGTTTTAAACATGATGGCAAAACCTGTCAGGCTGAAAATGTCTACCGGCATGACCATCCCTACTTGCTGAGGGAATCTTAAAGAATCAGAAGTCCTTACTACCCCTAGAAACCATTCTTCTAAGGCTGTGCCATGTTCCATAGCAGCAAGAAACTTCCACGAGCTGTGGTGGGTCAAGACCACCTCCATACAGTGACTCAGGATTCATGCACAAAGGTGTGGATCCCACCCAGGCAGCATCACACTATCTGGGGAAAGACAGTAAGCTTAATAGAAAAGAATATTCAACTCCTATGTTACAGACTGGTGAGGACAACCCACACCAGAACCACTGGGTATTGTTAACAGGATGGATGTACACTTCAGCCATGGCTTTTTACTGAGCATAGGCCCTGCCCTTCTGAATTGCGAGGTGTAGGTACCTTAGGACACATATGCATCCCAAGCTCTGAGGACTCTCTAGTAAGGCATCCCTATACATAAAAAGGGAAAGGGAACCCCATCTTTTTTAGAATGACTTTTTTTGTTATTTTTGAGACATGGTCTCCCTGTAGCCCCCGCTGGCCTGGAACTCACTATGTAGACAAGGCTAGCCTTGAACTCACAGAGATCTGCCTGCCTCTACCTCCTGAGTGCTGGGATTAAAAGGCGTGTGCCACCATGCCCGGCTCTAGAGTGACCTTTTTTTAAAAAAAATTTATGTGTATGCGTGTATTGCCTGCATGGAGGTAAGTGCACCCATGTCGTGCAATGCCTGCAGAGGACAGAAGAAGCCATTGGATCCCCTGGACCTGGAGTTACAGACAGTGGGTGCTGGGATTCTAACCTGGGTCTTCTCCAAGAATAGCCAGTGTTCTTAACCGCTAAGCCATTTCCCCAGCCCCTAGAGTGCCTATTTTTTAATAAAATATTTTTATTTTATGTGAATGAGTGCATTGCCTGCATTTGTGTAAGTGCACCTGTGTCCTGCAATGCCTATGGAGGTCAGAAGGCGGCACTGGATCCCCTGGAACTGGAGTTACAAACAGGTGTTGGCCACCATGTGGGTGCTGGGAATCGAACCCAGGTCCTCTGCAAGAGAGAGCAGCTAGTGCTCTTAACCATTGAGCTATCGCTCTAGTCCCCTAGAGTGACTACTTTTTAAAAAGGAACCACCTTGCACATTCACTCCATCTTCTGATTAAAGCAATGATATTGTAGATTTGTAGGTGACTAGGTCAAAAGAGTTTAATGCACAAGAGTTTTGCTCATACACAATTTTTGTGTGTGGTATTTTTGAGACAGGGTCTCACTATGCAGCCCTCCAGCCTGGAACTTGCTATATAGACCAGGCTGTCTTCAAGCTCAAGAGATCTGCCTACCTCTGCCTCCCAAGTGCTGGGACTAAAGGCAAACACCACCACAGCTGGCTCATGCACAATATTAAAGGAACTACACAGAACCTTATTATGAAGAGCCAGCATGTTGCTATGGTTAAAAACCCTTTTAACAGTTCCAACTTAGAATATCTTCCTGTGTATGCATCTGCAAAGACACTGCAGCAGCACAGGGACAGACTAGAAAGGAAGCTAGAGGTCAGATGGAAAGCATCTGTATGGAGAGCCTAGAATTTTTCAGCTGTGCTCAGAAACCCCAACCCCCTTTTTGGTTTTATCCTGACAATCAACTAGCTTCTCTTTATCCACTGGGTTTATTTGTCACAAAGCAGAATAAAACAAACTTTCTGTATTATTTTAGAGCTCCTGTGGGAAAATAAGCAGAGAATAAACAGCTCCCTATTACCTTCACTTATCTCCTAGCAGGGAAGGAAGAAAGTAGAAAAGGTATTCATATTGTGCTTATGTTTAAAAAAAAAACAACACATATTTCAGAAAGATATTAAACTCAGACCAACCTTCCAAGCACAGACATGGGCTGAGAAGAGCTATAGACTGGGGAGACAGAAGTCTCTGAGGGTTAAAGAGAAAGCCTATGCCTGGGGAACGTTGCAGAATTTTAGGAGTAGGTAAAGAAGTTCTTGGCCCACTGGCCTCACCATATGAGGTTTTACATGTTTTTCTTTAAAATTTTTATTTTATGTGTATGAGTGTACTGCGCGCATGTACGTAAGTGTATTCATGCATGCAATGCCTATGAGATCCCCTAGAGCTGGAGTTGGATAGCTATTAGCTGCCATGTGGGTGCTGGGAACTGAGCCTGGGTCCTCTGGAAGAACATCAAGTACTATTAACCACTGATCCATCTCATAGCAACTAAGGTTTTTTTTTTTAATACACAGGTTGCATATCCTTTATGCAAAATACTTGGGGCTGTATTCTGAACATTTTTTAGATTTGGAGAGTATATGGATATACAAAATAAACTATCTCAGGAATGAAATCAAGTCTAAATGTGAAATTAATTTACTTTCATGTATATCATATATACATAGTATGAAGATTTTATACAATATTTTAAATAATTTTGTGCATGAGACAGTTTCAAAATGTTGAATTTTCAACTTGTGTCATACCAACACTTAAAGCTTTTGGGTTACAGGGCTAGAGATGGCTCAGTGGTTAAAAGTACTGGCAGAAGACCAGATTTGGTTCTCAGGACCCACATGGCAGTTATAACTCCAGTTCCAGGGGCAACTTGACACCCTCTTCCAATTTCTGCAGGAGTGCATGTATGTGGTGCACTTATGTACAGTCAGGCAAATACACATTAAAAAAAAATTTTGGGGGGGGGTTTAACTTTAAGTTTTCTTAGTTGTCAAAAATTCTTTAATCCCAGAACTCAGAGGCAGGCAGGTCTCTATGAATTCAAGGCAAGTCAGGGCTATAGAATGAGACACACTCTCAAAATAAGTAAATGAAACTGGGGAGTTAAGGACACTCAATCTGTACATGGACTTCTTTTGGTTTTGAAGAATAAACAACTAAAAAAGTCCTTTCTTGATTACTGGGTTTTTTAACTAGTAAGCCAAATGCCACTGTTACTTGAATTCTGTTGTATATACAGACCTATATCCAAGCCCAAAATAATCCTGTCCAGGGAGCAAATACCTATTTTTCTAAAATGCTGATTCTTCTCATAAAATTCTTGTGACCAACTAACTTAACAGTCACCTCTCTGACTTTGCCTTCTTAGGAGAAATGGTCACAAAAATCTTCTCCCACAACTTCAATAGACTAAACACTATTTCTCTCCCACCTACGTATAGTATGAGGCATATAGTAAGCACTCAAATGTTTGTTGAGTGAAAAGACCCACATTATAGCCCAATCCCTAAAAGTCTTGCATTAAACTGGCTAAGTACACACAAAGGAAAAAGCACTTGTAATACAGAGAAAAGATTCCATTCTCAACTTCTTACAGCAGACTGACTTCTGTCTTTCAAACCTAAGAAGTGAGTCTGACCATGTCCTTTGGGGTCTGAGGTAGCATGTTGCAACTATTAACAAATCCAAACACTTAAAAAGAAGGCACGGCATTCATGTCACTTTACAGAGTGTCTTTCACAGTTTCATCCCAGAATAGCTCAATATAGACCCAGAGCTCTAAAAGTGTGGCCCACCTTGAAAGACTCCATATCGGAGAGCAGACAGGCACTCTGCATGCGTGCGCGGAGGTGAGCCCCCTCAGCAGATGTTCCTAATTTAGCTAAGACCTCAGACTGCTCTTCCAGCAGATCTTCTGTCATAGGTGCTGGCTCCTGCAGAGCACAAAAGGACAAAACTCACCAGTGGTCCTTTTTAGACAAAGCAGATGATAAAAATAGAATAAGTCATTTCTGTTCTCATAGCCACAAGATACACATTTGAAAGAATTCAGAGAAATGCACAAATTTATCAGAACCTTCATTTACAAAGTAACAAATTAATAATGAAATGACTCTCAGGTCTCCTCCCTGACTGACAAGACTGCCAGTGTTTCCCTTGACAAGGACTGAGAGCCAAGAGACAGGGACTGTGGTTTAACACACATTTTCCTGCCTATTAGTGGTAGAGAAATGAAGTCTTAGTGATTATTGTATGTCATCACTAGTTGCAACAAGGTTTTTATTTCAAACACAGGCTGGAACTGCTCTAACGGTGATGATCGCTGACTTGGAGTTACAGCTCTTTGTTTTCTTTGTTCTACAGTGAGCCCCATCACTTCTGTCAACAAGCACCCGGCAAGATTCACACTGACACAGAGTGAAGGATGATCGGTGAGGCAGTATGGCACAATCCAGACTGTGGGCTCCTGAGACAAGAGGTCCATACTGGAATTTCACTCTGTGACCCTGGCCCACCATTCCTTTCAGAGGTTTGTTACAAAAACCAAGTCCTAACACATGCTTAGTAAACACCAGCAATTACAAGCAAAACACTTTTAAACTTCATACTCTCTCACTGACAAAGTATTATCAAAAAAGACAAGTTTACTAATTACGTGAGCTTCTACTGAAGCACCAAAGTCAGAGCAGAGGCTCTCACTCCTGCTATTATGGAGCTACTTTTCACTGTGTTGCAGCCCTGAAAGCAGAGGATGGGGGGAAGAAATGGAAAATTACTCAGTAATAAACGTGGATGAACCACTGATAATATATATGGATTCAAAATAAAACTATACTGAAAGGAATTACATATAGGTACACATGACAGCTGGCCATGGTGGCACATACCTGTAATTCTAGCATTTAGAGATGGAGGGAGGCTAAAGGATCAGGAGTTCATGGTCATTCTCAGGTACATAGTGAATTCAACACCAAGCTGGGCTACATGAGACCTGATTCAACTCTTCTCCCTTACTGCCCCAAAACAGAAACAAAGAACATGCTGTATTACTCTATGAACAGAAAATATAAATTTTTCCTTTTATATGGGGGGGGGGGGTGGGGAGGGAGCAAACTGTTCCCAAATTTCTAGGCTCCAGTAATATTTCTGCCTCTCAGCCTTTAAAGGAGCTAGGACAACCTGTTTGCCCTATTGCACTCAGCTTACCTGCAGTCTTTTAAGACAAAAAAAAAAACCAAGGCTCAGAAAGGAAACTCATGTTATATAGCCAATCTTATACATTAACAATGGGTCCAGGAAAATTTATTTTGCTGCCTCCTCCCCCCAAACAGACCTGCACAAGAATACTGACTGCATACTCTGTAACAAAATTAGGAAAAAAATATACACTTGGTTTCTAGCATTACAAGAGCACATTCTATAAACCACCCACAACTCATACAGTGCCCACCCACCCATGCCTCAGGGCTCCTACTCCTTATCTGGACATATTGATCCAGGGCCTGGCATACCCTGCACTTGGTCAGCCCATAGGCTGAGTCAGGTTTCTGGAGGAGATACAACAGGTAATATTTAATAGGAAGATATTCACGAATTAAAACATCTGAGTTCCAAATGAAGGAGATGGTTTAAATAGTAATCATTAGAAGTGTTGAGTGCCTAAGTCTTTTGTGTAAGAAGCTAGGAAAACAGCAAATTAATTTCCAGTAAATGAAAATACAGCATGAATTAAAAAAAAACAAAACCCAAAACCCCAAGGTTATTTTTCAAGGGGAAAGCTTTATGAAATAAAATCCCTTGAGACAAAAGAATATACAAAACACAAGTTTTAAAACTGGAAACTGCAGTATCGTCACAGTCTACAGACATAAAGGACACAGCCATCCTTGTCTATGGGTTGGCAGAACCCACAGATTCAGAACCTGTGACTATGGAAAGTTCACTTATAGGACCTAAGTTACCAGAAGTTTGGTACAGGAATGGGGAGAGAGGGCCCTGTGAATACTGAGGGTGACATGGGCTGTGAAATAATCTATACCAATGAACATGAAATTCAGAAAAATGAAAAATTTCTTAGAAATACAATTATCCAGCCGGGCGTGGTGGTACATGCCTTTAATCCCAGCACTTGGGAGGCAGAGGCAGGTGGATCACTGTGAGTTCCAGGCCAGCTGGGGCTACAAGGAGACCCTGTCTTAAAAGACCAAAAAAAGAAATACAACTACCAAAACTCAAATCAGAATCATTCTGTAGCAAAGAAATCTGAGGTCTGGTGAGATGATTTAGTGAGCAAAGGCACCTCTTGCCAACCTTGACAATATAGATTTAATCCCTGGAACCTACATGGTGGAAGGAGAGAACCTACTCCTGCAAGTTAGCCTCTGACCTCCACATGTGGGCCATTGCATACCTCCTCAGAAATTAATGCAATTAAAAAAAAAAAAAAACAAACAACAAAACCAACCAAACAAAAAACCTTGAACATCAGGTGTGGTAGCATACACCTTTAATCCTTGGATGTTTGTGAGATCAAGGTCAGCCTGGCCTACATAGTTCTAGGCCAGCTAGAACTACAGGAGACCCTGTCTTTTAAAAAAAATTTTAATCTTATAACCAAAAATATTATAAGCTTATAACCAAAAATATTCCTATAAATAAAACTCTAGATTCTGAGTGGATTCATTAGTGAGTTTTCAATGATTTTATGTGTATGAATGTCCTCTGCATGTGTTAAGAGTACCCATGTGTGCCATATTTTCAGCGAAGTAATAAAATCAATCTTATACAAACTGTCCAAAAAATTAGAGAGGAAGTACTTCCCTAACAAGAACATTATAAGCAAGGAAATCTTGGGTGAACAAGATGACTAATCAACAAAAGGAAACTGAGTTTGAAAGACTTGGTATACCCACCTGGGTGACTGGAATGTAGAGAGGCTCTCCATTATGTAGCAGTGTGAGCTTCCCATGTTGGTGCAGGCGTCCTTCTGGCTTTAAGTTTGCTGTCTCCTTAGGGCCTCCTTTCTTGCCAGTCTCTTGCCCATTTCCCTTAAGTTCTTCAGTATCACTAAGGCATTCAAAGAATTCTTCTTCACTGTCACTCCAGGAATCCCAGGATTTCCCCATCTCTCCCTTCTCCTTCTCTGTGTCTCTGAGATGGTCCATGCCCAGCTGACCCCCAGCTTTTCCAGTATTCCCAGGATAGGTGTTAGTTACATTATCAGAGGGGCTTGGTTTCTTCCCCTCATCGCGTGCTTGCTTTCTTTCAATACAACAATTTAACATCTGAAGAGAGCAGAAATAATATATAGCTGAATTAAAAGAAAAATAAAAATCTGACTGCTTGACTATGTCTACTCTTTTCCAGGACCTTGCTAAGAATTACATGGATTAATTTTAAGCAAACTATAGCAATACAATGAGAATATCCTATATAATCCATTACTACTTTAGTGTTAGAGTAAGTTCCAAGTAATACTGCCACGGAGACATCTTTACCTGTAGTTTCTGATGTAGTAAACAACATCTTAAATCTGGTGGTCCACTTGCTAGTCTACCAAATAAGAAAAAAAAGAGCTTACTTTTAGTGATATCAGAGACACCTATTTTTATATTACCAAAGCTTTTGGCTTTATTGTTAAGGAATCAAAACTAGGTTTCTATACTGAAGAAAACAGAGTTCCAAGGTGGCAAATATGATTAAAAATTTAAATTTATTTTATCCTTCTAGCTTGCAAATCAACAGCAAATAAAAAAGATATTTGAAACATAATGGTAAATGAATAATAGCTTTCAGGCTAATTAGAAACTCAAGAGTCTCTAAACCTACCCTAGGAAATAACTGGCATATAATACTTCCTATCACACAAAAAAAATTAGTCTGCGTTCAGTTTTCAATTATTATGGTGGCATCTCACTATATAAACTAAGGTCTCTACCTCTATTTTTTCAGTGGGATCCTAGACTCCCTCTGGTTCTAAATCACTAGATTCCTCAGTTAGAGTTCACTATAATTACTGTGCTTCTGTACGTGTAGTTAAGTTCCAGAGTAAAATAGAAGCAACCAAGAGAGCATTCCAATAAATAGACAGGCAAATAACCTAATAGGAAACAGTTTTGTCAGTGGCCATTTTCCATTGCTCATGTCATCATTCTCCTCCTTAGCATGGATAAATGAGCACAAGTGTAGCAGCACCAGCTTAGTAGTACTGGCATGTATGCTGAACAAAACATCCTATTTGATTACATGAAATATCAATAAATTATGTTTAATGCCTGAACTTGTAGTGAACTCTAAACGCATTTTCCTTCCAATAATAAAATATATGTTCATTACAGATTACAAGAAATACAAAAATGAAAAAAAAAAAAAAAACTACCTTCATAGTTGGGAAAACTAGGGGTTGGGATTCAGCTCAGTGGTAGAGTGCTTGCCTAACAAGCACAAGACCCTGGGTTCGGTCCTCAGCTCCAGAAAAAAAAAAAAGACCAAGAAAAAAAAGGCAACTAGCATAGTTGGGAAAACTATTAACACTTGGTTATGTATCTTTCTGATATTTTTCTATACATTATCTATGGACATAATTAAAATATTCTGTATATGATTATCATACTTGGTTATTAGTATCATAAATAGTTTCTATATTAAAGATTCTTGAGGGCTGGGATCCCCTCAGTGGTAGAGCACTATCTTAGCATTTATGAGGCCTGGATTCAATTCCTACTACCCCTTCCCTCCAAAAAAGGATTCTAGAAGGAAACATTGTAATGGATCGACAAAAATTTCCACTGTTGATACATGACATAATTTAATCTGTTGAGATTTAGGCTCTTTGGCCTTTTTTTCTATTATAAATTGGCTGCAGTGAATACCTCTGAGCCTAAGTTGTATCCACATTTCTGAGCACTTTTTTAGTAAAGATTTCTGTGGTGGTCTGAATGAGAAATGCCCCCACAGACTCAAGTATTTGAACACTTTGTCCCCAGTTGGTAAGGCTGCTTAGGGAAATCATGGCATTTTTAGAAGGTGGAGCCCTGCTGGAGAAATTATGTTTCTAGGAGCAGGCTCTCAGGGTTCGTAGCTTCACCCTACTTCCCATTGCTCACTCTGCTGTGTTTCTGATGAAAGAGGTGATCTCTTGGCATCTTGCTCCAGCTATCTGCTGTCACGCCTCCCTTGTCATTACAGACTCTCCTCTGGAACCACAAGCCCAAAATAAACTCCTTCTATAAATCATTTTTGGTCATGGTGCTTTAATCACAGCAACAAAAAAGTAACTAATATAATTAAAAGAAGTCAGGTATCTGCTGATTAACAAAAATCCTATCTAAGCAATTGCAAATTAAAATTATTACCCTGGAATCAGAAAGTTGTTTTCCCATCTGAAGCGCATTTCAAGAACAAATTCTTGCCAGAGATGTGCTACTCCCTTCAGCCCTCCATGGTAGAAATTGATCATACAAAGACACAAGGCTAGTTTGTATGTTAAACTGTCGGAGGGTGCAGATTTGAACTGATTGTAGAGAGTCTAAAGTTAACATAAGAAAAGAAGCAAAACTTGTTAACAAATTTACAAACATTAGCAAAAACTGTGTAAGAGGACTCTTGTACTGAAATTAACCCATAAGAATCTTTTGCAAAGCAAATTTTAACAATTTCACAAAAAATCTAAAATAAGAGCTATGCATAGTATACTTACACTATTTTCTGTTTTCTAAAAAGCTCTTGCTACCCAAAATATGTATCCATGCAAATGTTCTGAGCGGGTAATTATCTGAGTGGCTGTAAGCAGCACTCAAGTTTCCAAGGATGCTTTTTAAAATGAAGAGATACTTATGGTTACCAAACTAGAAATATAGCAAACCCTTAGAAATTTAGTGCATTTAAAATATTTTAATGTTAGGGCTGAAGAGATGGCTCAGTGGTTAAGAGCACTGACTGCTCTTGCAGAGGACCTGGGTTTGATTCCTAGCACCTACATGGTGGCTAGCAACCATCCGTAACTCCAGTTCCAGGGGATCCAATGCCATATTCTGACCTCTGAGGACACTGCACAACACAGGTGCACTTACATATATGCAGGCAATATACTCATACACATAAAATAAAAATAAAAAATTTTTAAATTTATTATTGAATTCCAGCTTACATAGTCTTCACCCTCTGATGGGGGATTATTATTGTCTGTTGAAGTAGTTCCATCAAACAGCTTCTCAGAAGCAGCATCTGGGAATAAGAACTGGGGAGAAGCAGGTAATGTTAGACTCATAGAAGATACTGACTTTCCAATGGTTTTGCTGTTAGAACTATGGGAGTGCTCTTACCGTCCTATCAAGTTTGGGAGGTTTTTTTGTTTTGTTTTGGAGGGGGTTTGTGTTTTAAGAGAGTCTCCTTGTAGTCACCCAGCTGGACTGGAACTCACTATGTACAACAGGCTGGCCTTGATCTCACAAAGATCCATCTGCCTCTGCCTCTGCCTCTGCCTCTAGAATGCTGGGATTAAAGAAAGGTGTGTGCCACCAAGTTCAGTTCATGTCAAGTTATTTTTACATTCTTTCAATTTTAAATTTTTTTTCAAAAATACACAGAATTGCCGGGTGTGGTGGCACACGCCTTTAATCCCAGCACTCTGGGAGGCAGAGCAGGCAGATCTTTGTGAGTTCCAGGCCAGCCTGGTCTACAGAGTGAGTTCCAGGACAGCTGGGGTTACAAGGAGACCCTGTCTCAAAAAGACAAAAAAAAACCAAAAAACAAACAAAAAAAAACCCGCACAGAATTTCTGTGACTAGTCAATTTTAGAAATTTGCATTAAATAACCACTTGAGGCTGTGAGCTGAGTAACACAGAAGCAAAATCTCTTCACTGTGATTCCATACCCACCACACCGTAATAAATATAATAAAACCTGTGATTATTAAATAGAGACAAAACTGTAATAAAATAATTTAAAAATGCCTCTGTATTCATGAGGATCTGTAATAATGTGATCCATAGATTTTCATGTATGAACTACTAAAGGCATGGTATGAAAGACCCCCTAAAGAAAGAGAAGGAGCTTAAACCTGAATGGTCAATGCATCTTCTCTAGTTACTACTGTTTGTGTAAAGGTAGGAAGAGGTGAGAAAGGGGAGGAAAAAAAAAATAGTGTATATAACACCTAGCTGTATGATTTGCATATTCAAATTCTCAAGATACTTTTTTGAACATAAAGTCTACCTATGTATGTAGCCCAAGATGACCTTGAACTGGTGATCTTCCTGCCTTAGCCTTCCAAGTGTTGTGCTTACAGTTAGTATGTCACCCTCTGGGTTCTAAGGATATATTCCTAAGATGTCTTCTCTGTAAAAACTTATTTTCAGTCCTTTTATTAATATTCCTACAAACTTATTTCTGGTAATGCTAACCAATATGCTCTCTATGTCTACTTTACCACATATTACAAAACATGCAACATGCTCACTTGTCTTTTTTTTTGAGACAGGGTCTCCCTGTAGCCCCAGCAGGCCTGGAATTCACTATGAAGATCAGGCTGGCCTTCATCTCAGAGATCTGCCTGCCTCTACCTCCTGAGTGCTGGGATTAAAGGTGTGCACCACAAGTACTGCATGCTCTCAGAATTATAAAATTCAAACCATATCCTGTTCTCACACCACTGCCCACATGTAAAATGTACCAGCTAAAACCTAAGCATTTTGTTCAGATAAATGGCAAGACATATGCCAAGGCTGGTATGGTATCTGGGTCTAGCATTCCCTTCATTATACTACTCATGAAGGGTTTCCTCTAAGACTATTATAATGAATGAAGGTTTCCTCTAAGACTGTTATAATGAACAAATTATAACTATAATTACAGTATGAACAGCTATCATTCATTAAAGGTGTGTTACATCCCATGGCAGTAGTGTCCTTTAATTTTCAAAAAATCTCACAAGGTCTTGTTAGTTTCCTCAGAGAAATGAGAAAACTGCAGTGACTTGTTCAAAGTCATGCAGAAAGTCAGGAATCACCCTGCTGTGCAGCTCTTAGGCTGTATCCATTCTAACCATACCTTTTTTAGTCCTCATTGTACAGATTTTTCTAGACTTTTGTCATAAGAACATTTCAAAAATGCAACTTTTTGGAACACTGATCTTTTGTTTAAAGTAGTGTTAAACTGTAACATTAAAAAGTACAGCACATTATCACAGGTTACCTACTACCTTGACATCGTTATCCCTGATCATTCTCAGAGAAGTACTCTTTAGACTACCAACTATTCAATATGATCTCAGTGGTTGCAGATATAGCTCAAGGTAGAGTACTTTGCCTAGTATGTGGAAGGCCCTGGGTTCAATCCCCAGCACTGCAAAGCAAAACCTCAGCTCAATCTTAGGCCTCTGCTTCTTTACTGAGTTCAAGCACCCTTTATGAAACATCTGCGATTCACTTCAGAAACACGCAGACACCTTCTGCTCTCTTCTCAATGCCTCCTTGCCCCATTTCTTACTTGCAATCTGAGATTTTAACTATTACTTTTCTTCTTCCCACTAACTAGTAACAGTCTCTGAATGTGAAGACTGTTTACTCCTCGTGCACCCAATCCAGCAACTGCAAGAGAGAAGGGACTGAATAAATCAATGAACACATGCTTATGGAAATACATATAAAAGGTAAGACAGGCAGTTACCAAGAGGATGGTATTGAGGACATCATTATTCAGTGGTGACTCTTCACCTCTGTGTTTCCGTATTTTCTTCTTTGCAGTGTGTACCATATTTGAAACTGATAATTTATGAATTGGAACTGGTGCTGGCTCTGTCAGCTTTGACAAAGCATGAGTTATATCGGCAACTTCTGTAAAGTAGAAATGATTGCAAATTATATCACAAAATTAACAGGAAAAGTGATGAGTAAATAGATGACATTTACATGTTTTAATTCTTCTTTACACAAGTATTATATCTTCTCAGAATTATGAAATTACAAAATTGTAACCCATGTTCAGCTTTACATGCAAGCATGGGGTGTCAAGATATCACAAATTATTTCTTCCCAGGAGAAAGCATCTAAAACACTGCTTTTCAAAATACATTATTATTACTTTTTAGGCAGATAAAGAATTTATTACATGCATTTGATGTCTTAACAAGTTCTGGGTATAGCCTGGAGAGAAATGCCAGCTATGCAGTCCATCAAAACTTGCTTTTCCAACTTAATTCAAAGTGAGAAAAGCAGATGAAAAGTTGCCAAGATATATGCCAAAGAACAAGAGCAAAACTTTCCAAAGAATGCTAAGTAGCAAAAGTAGGTCACCTCTTCCTTCTTCTTCAAATGTAGATCGTCCAAGAATCTCATCTGTTGATTCCTTTCGACGGCAAATTTTTAAAAATTCAGTGACAAAATCACCTACACAGAAAAAAAAAAAAAAAGTGTTACTCATTTTTGACATTTAACTGAAAGAAATTAATCCAATAAAGTGTCTTTCCATGAAAACTATGGTTGGGGGAAAATTCATTTTTCCACTGAAGAAGATAAAATTTAATACTATTTTGCAAATGGACTTGCTCTTCCTATCTCACTGGATATAAAAATTTTACTTAGACTTCCTTCTGTTCTTGAAGCCCATCCTTTTCCTTGAACTAACCAACCCATTACTAATCTCTAGAGTGTTTTCCCTTTGTTAAGAAATCATCTTTTTTTTCTTTAAGTTTTTTTTATTAATTTAAAAATTTTATGCATATGAGTGTTTTGCCTATGTAAGTGCATGCAATGCATGCAGAGGCCAGAAGAGGGTGTCAGAGTCCCCTGAAACTAGAGTTATGGGTAGTTGTTAGCTACCATGTGGGTGCTGGGAACCAAACCAAGATCCTCTGGAAGGGCAGCAGGTGCTCTTATCAAGTGAGCCATCTCTCTATTCCTCTTATTTCTATTTCTGAAAAAAAAAAAAATTTCTTCTACAATGGAAGGAAAACAATATCTACTGCATATTACTAAACTTCCAGCAGGTTTCATTGTGTCCAATATCCATTATTAAATAATAAAAGTGATAGTATTATTGTATGCAATAATCTTTTCTATTACCCTACAAGAATTCTGATTTTATTTTAAAAAATACAAATTAAAAATAAACTGTAGGGGCTGGAGAGATGGCTCTCAGTTAAGAACACTGACTGCTCCTACATAGGACCCAGGTTCAGTTCCCAGCACCCAGTGACTACCAATCATCCACAAACTCCAGTTCCAGGGTATCCAATGCCCTCTTCTGGCTTACAGGGGCACTGCATGCACCTGGTGCACTTATATACCTGCAGGCAAAATACTCATACACATAAAATAAAAATAAATTAAAATTTTAAAGAAAATTAGAGCCAGGCATGGTGGTACATGCCTTTAATCCCAGCACTCAGAGGCAGAGGTAGGTGGATCTCTATGAGATCAAGGCCAGCCTGGTATACACAGCAAGTTCTAGGCCAGCTAGGGAAAACAAACAAAAACAAAATGTTAAGGATGTTCCCAGAGGATCAAGAAATCATGTAGCAAGAGACTATTCTATCTTTGATTGCATATTTATGATATATTTTGTGTTATGATAGAGGGAAAAAAAGTGGTTTCCTGTGTTTTAAAGAGCTACAAAGAGTTGTTTGGGGCTGGTATGGCCTGATGACCTGAGTTCAATCGCAGGGACCCACACAGTACAAGACAAATGACTTTTGCAAGCTGTCCTCTGATCGCCACAGTAGCGCCACGGTATGTGCATGCCCTCAAGCACAAATATGTGTAATAATTTTTTTACATTAAAAGCTGAGCATAGTGTTGCAAGCCTTTAATCCCAGCACTTGGGAGGCAGAGGCAAGAGGAAAACTGATCAAGGCCAGCCTGGTCTACATAGTGAGTTCCAGGCCGGCTGGGGCTACAGGAAGACCTTGTCTCAGGAAGACCAAAAAAAAAAAAAAAATTAGGATATCAAGTCTTCTGTAATTATTACAAAGTCAGATGAAGAATAAGGTATTAAGTAATTTAGTAATCAAATTTAATAATGTGATAAATCAGTTACTAAACAACAGAAAACACTTATGCAGTTTTTATATATAGGCATAGTGTTACAATGTTCAGTGTGACCCACATACACAGGTATATAACTTCCCTTCATCATCCTAATTAACCCATGGGGTGTGTATTAACTGAATCCGTTTTACTGACAAGAGTGCTAAGGTTTCAGGTAATTAGGAAACTTGCTCTAACTGGTGGATGTAAGTGGGCCTGTTCAACTCTGAAACTCTTGTTATTGATACTATGTTGTCTCTCTAAGGCCCCAAGCAAACTTGCAGAGGGCAGAACATTTTCTCCACTGTCAGGTACCATAAATGTTGAATGTTAACTGCCATTTATTGCCACTTACTGCCACTTGATGAACAGCATATAATGAATAAGAATGTTAAAAAGCATGAAATTCTCAAAGAATAAAAATATATTTTTAAAAATAACTAAAAAATGCATTGGAGAAATGCTGGGATCAAAAGCATGCTCTACCACACCCTGTGGAAAGACATATATAAAGGTAATGGGTTGAGAAGACTTACAAAAACACACCTATAAAAAAATGGGGGGGGGGGTTTGAGAGAACAATTCCAGATCTAGAACCTGAACAGTAATCACTATTTTTCAATCACTATTTTTCACTATCTCATTAAATCTTCAAATAACATGTTAGGCACAAAGGGTGCATTCATACTTCTTTTTCAATAAAGTACCTTACGGATATGATACAACTTGCCAGAGAAGTTATAATACCCACTTCTTAAACTGTGGTCACATAACTGGGAATTCAAAATCAATCAGTCAGTCAGTCAGCCAGTCAGTCAGTCAGTCAGTCAGTCAATCAGTCAATCAGTCAGAAACAGTAAAAGGCTTCGGAATATGGAGTGATCAAAAATTAACTCAAACTCAAACATGTAATAAATTCAAGGTATTTCTGGCAATGCTCAACCTTTTTACATCGAGACTTCCCTACAGCCTTGCTTCTGAACCACACTATGCACAGTCTGCTGTGATTCCACACAATGCCAACTAATGCTGCCTCCAAAACCTCAGCTCAGATTCAAGACTACCTTATGCCATGAATTGCAGCGTCTTTACACACAAAATTTTCTTCTCTTGTAGAAACATAATGGTATAATTACAGAAAACAAAGACAATATTTTCTTATCACTATTCCTCAGCATGTAAATATAAAAGTACTATTTTTGAACTGTACTGTTAATATGCTTGCTTTTAAAAACTGTTCCTATGGGTCTGGAGAGGTGGCTCAATGGTTAAGAGCATTTGCTACTCTAGTAGAAAACCCAGGATTGGATCCCAGCACCCACATGGCTACTGACGACTATCTCTAACTCCGGTTCCAGAGGATGTGATGCCCCCTTCCGGCCTTCAAGAACACCAGGCATGTACATGGCATATATACATACATACAGCCTGTGGTAGTTTGAATGACAGATGTGTCCCACTGGCTCAGTTATTTGAATACTTGGTCTCCAGCTGGTGGTGCTGTTTGGGGAAGTTATGGAACTTTTAGGAGGTGAAGGAAGTTTATCAATGAAGGCAGGATTTGAGTTTTATAGCCTCATTCCACTTCCCTACTGCTTTCTGCATGTGGTTCAAAGATGTACTCTTTCAGTATCATGCTCCTCCCACCATGCCTCCTGTTTCCTGCCATGCCTTCCCATCATGGGAGATTCTTACTCTTGGAACCATAAACTCAAATAAATTCCTTTAACCTTTGATTGTGATGTTTTATCACAGCAACAAATAGTAACTAATATACAGGCAAAGCACTCATACACATAAAACTCCAAAAACTGTTGAGTTGGGACTTGAGTTTCATAAATATAATTCAATGAAATTTGACTTGAGATTAAGAAGAAAATTCCAACTGAAATGTTCTTAAACATACTTCTGCCATTTTATACTACATATTGTTAATTATTACTTCAAAAATATATATATATGACAGAGAATCAGTTAGGAGCAATCAGGGTGTTGCAAGTCCTGATTATGCAGAGATGCTAATCACGCATCATGCGAACTCCATCGTTTTCTATCTGCCCTCAAAAGGAAGAATAGGTAAGGTTATCCCACCTGACAGTGTATTTTTATGAAAAGTAGCACTCTCAGCATTGACAATTATAGACTCAAAATACTGATCAACTGTGCATGACATGGGTGCACTTACATACATGCAGGCAAAACACTCGTACACATAAAATAATAAAATAAAATCATAAAACATCTTTGTTTAAAAAAACAAAGAAATCCTGTTAGTATTAATACAAAATTCATTACTACTGGTAAAGATTTTGCTACATCATGTTAACAGTGGAGGTCATGAATTAAAAATTTATTTGAATAGATGAAATAAAGTGTAAAGAATGTATTGGTTCCATTTTGGGAAATACCTACAATATGGTTTTTCAAAAAAAGGAATAGAGGGGCTGGAGAGAGAGTGCAGTGGTTAAGAATGCTGACTGTTCTTACAGAAGACACAGGTTCAAATCCCAGCACCCACATGGCAGCTAACAACTGTCCATAACTCCAGTTCCAATGGATCCAATAGTCTCTTCTGTCCTCCATGGGCATTGCATGACACAGGTACACTTACCTACATGCAAGCAATACATGCATATACATAAAATTAAAAAAAAAATTTTTTTAAAAAGGAATAGAATGTATCTTACCTAGCAGACACTGGGGATTATCAGCTTTTCGAACTCTAACAGACCAATGGGGAGCTTGAATAGGATCCAAATCACTGGAATACAATGAACATAAGATAGTAATTATGATAGTCTCCAAGATTCATAACCTTTATCAAAATGCAGTGGAATAAAGGCCAGGTGGGGTCGCAGACACCTATAATTTCAACAGTTCAAAGGCTGTGGCAGGAGGTTCATTAGTAGGAGGCTAGAGAAGGCTACATACTGAGACTCTGTCTTTAAAAAAAAAAAAGCAAAATTAATTAATTAAAACAAGATCTAATGAAAACATCTTATAAGGGGAAAAACAATCTATTTTGTATCTCTTTTGGAAAGATGCTGGCTTTCGATCTAATCTTCTGCATTGATCTCCCAAGTGCCCACCACCACACCCAACTATATTTTAAAACTATATTGCCATTTGGTTAAGTTGCTTAAAAAATTATCATAAGGGGGTGGAAAGATGGCTCAGTGGTTAAGAGCACTGACTGCTCTTGCAGAGGACCCGGGTTTGATGCCCAGCACCCACATGGTGACTAGGAAATGCCCTTAACTCCTTTATGAAAAGGAAAGGTGTCTACTTCTCACTGTTTGCACCTGGAAGAAAAAGGAACTAAAATGCCTTCCTATTTCACTGCACTCTTCTTAGAGATTGCTTGTTGAAATTTTCAAGTTTTTTCCATTACACAGAATGGGGCATAGATGTTTTATTACTCATAACCCTTAATCATCAAATATCCCAAGCCAGTGAAATGGCTAAAAGTCATTTGCTGTGTAAGTCTTACAACCCAAGTTTGATTCCTAGAACCCATGGTGGAAGGAGAGAACTGACTCCCACAAGTTATCTACTGACCTCCACACATGTGCTATGGCATGTGGGTGCCTGTTCATGGTCACGTCATACACACACACACACATATACACACACACACACACACACACACACACACACAAAACAACATTCCCACACATTCTGATGCTCATCATCTGTTCAAAGCATTTTGTGACACACTTTTTTCCTTCCAGTGCTGGGAGTTGAACCCAGGGTCTTCTATATGTTTGACAAATACTCTATCATTGACCTTCTTCCCAGTCCTAAAATGATCCTTATAAGCTTAGGTCAGAAAAATCATATACTGAATGGTAGAGATCTTTCTGCTAAAACACAGATTCAAATTATTCATTCCCTTTAAGGAGCACACTTCCTGAAGCAGCAACCAAAAATCCATCCTAAATCCATACAAACAGGTCTAAAAAATGGTCTCTAAAAAAATTAAGCTTAAAAAAAAAACAAAAAACAAAACAAAAAAAACCCCCAAAACCAACCAATCTTACTAGAAAGTGTTGCAAAAACAAAAGGGCAAACTGCTAAGCACTTGGAATTTAATTAATTGCAATGAAGTTCTTAATATACTTACGAATAAACATCATTGTCCACAATGATCCCTTCCGTCAGATGAGGCCATGTTGTTGCTAAATGGAGTTCACTAAAACAAAATTTAAAAAAACATCAAATATACCCAAAAACATGTCCTCTCATTTACAATTCTACTTCAAGGAATGCATCCTGAAGAAATAACTAAAGATGTGCATAAAATTATCTCTTTTTTTTTTCTTTTTTGAGACAGGGTCTCCCTATAGCCCTAACTGACATAGAACTTACTATGTAGACTAACTGGCTGGCCTCAAACTCACAGAGATCTACTTGCCTCTGCTTCCTGAGTGCTGGGACTAAAGGCATGCGCCACCATGCCTGGTGCATAAAAGTATCTTAAAAGTGATGAGATGTAATGGTTGCTGAAGGAGGGAGAAGCACTTTCTCCAGTGGTATAGCCACTGTTAAGTTGCTCATGCTCCTCTAAATTACCATGCTCCCAATAAGAAAGAAGTATGGATGGGGAAGAGGAGAGGAAGGGGAGGGGAAAATGAAGAGAGGGGAGATGAAAGAAAGTAAAAGGGATATAACTAGGAAGAGGAAGCAGATCAGTTGGAAAAGGCAGGGGACAAGAGGGTAAGAGTGGGTGAGTAAGAGCCAACACACATTATCTGCCTGTATGAAATGTCATAATGGGGGCTGGAGAGTCAGCTCAGTGGTTAAGAGCACCAGCTGCTCTTACAGAAGACCCAGGTTCAATTTCCGGCACCTACACTGTGACTAACAACCATCCATAACTCCAGTTCCAGAGGCAACCAATGCTCTCTTATCTCCTTGGGCATTGTACTGCACAGGTGTACTTACATATATGCAGACAATACACTCATAAATTTTTTTTAAAAAAGAAAAAAAAAGGAAAATGTTGCTAGGCGTGGTGATGCATTCCTTTAGTCCCAGCACTCAGGAGGCAGAGCCAGGTGGATCTCTGTGAGTTCAAGGCCAACCTGGTCTATACAGTGAGTTCCAGGTCAGGTGGGGCTACAGGGAGATCCTGTCTCAAGAAGACCAAAAAAAAAAGAGAATGTCATAATGGAACTCATTATTATGTATAATATATGTAATAAAAACCTTTAAAGGAATATTTAAAAAGTGGTGCTATACGTAGTAACTAAAAACTGGTTTAGTAAAAGGAAGCAAGTCCATATGAAGTTGTTTTACAGACATAAAACATCACAGTATGTATTAACCAAAAAGTATAAATAACCCAAATGTCATCAACTGATGATGAGATGAACAAAATGTGATATATAGTAACTATACCTACATAATGGCATATTATAAATTCATTTTTAAAATGTTCTGTTTCATGCAATAATAAATGAACATCAAAAACTGAGTAGATGTATTAAAAGACTGCGCTATATGAAATGTCCAGAATAGGCAAATTCACAGGGTCACAGTGATCAGTGTTTATCTAGGGCAGGAGAGGCTAGAATGACTGAGCTAGAAAAAATGGCTAAGAAGCTAACAGCAGGCTGACAAGATGGATCAGAGGGTAAAATACGTTGATGCAAGCCTTGGGAGTCAAATTCAAACCCTGGAATCCACATAAGAGAGGACCAACTCCACAAAGCTGCCCTCTAGCCTCCACACCTACGCCTTGGTGCATGCATGTGTGCACACTAGTGTTTAAAAATCTTTTTTAAAGGAAGCAAACAACTTTTTTCTGAGGTATTACAGATGCTTTGTGGTTAGATAGTGACAGCTGCACAACTCTATAATAAAAATGGTGGAATTTATGGTAGATGAATTTTCTCAATTTTGAAAAATTGTGTCATAGAGATTGAGTTGGCAAACTTCCTATAAAGTCCAAAGAGCACATTTTTTAGGCATTGTGAGCCATGTATAGTCTGCTATATTCTTGTCTTTTCACTTTTATTCCTGTTAAAAAATAAAAACCATTACCAGCCAGACAAAAACTGACACTGGCCAGATCTGACCCACAAGCTACATACTGTCAAACTCTTTTTGTACTGGAGACTGAACGAGGGCTTGTACATGCTAGGCACTCACTCTACCACTGAGATATACCCCCAAGCCTTATGGTAAAAGAGTATTAAATTTCAGTTTTCATGTGAAATTATAAACTAAAGAAAGCAAGTATATTTATTTCCAGTATTTATTTCAATAGCCTACTGTATCATAAAAGGAACAATATAAACTGAAAAGTCAAAATAATCCTGTTCAAATAAAAGGCTGAAATTCTCACCTTATAGGATCTTCACAGGCACCAAATGGCAACTTGCCAAACTCTAGTCCTCCAACTTCTCCTCCCACAAGAGCATCTATATCTAAGCAGGGGAAACATTTGTTCCATTATTTGGCAAAACATAGAAATAAGCATCTACTCTAAGTTAAGGTGTTCAGAAAGTACTAGCGTTGAAAGTGTAACAGTGCAGATGGCAACTTACGGCACATTACAGCATATGCGGTCAAATATTTAAGACTTCTGAGAAGAAGAACATAAGCACAGGGGGTAGAGAGATGGCTCAGAGGTTAAGAAACTTGCTCCTCTTGCTTATGACCTAACTTCAGTTCTTCAATTCCTAATTGGCTGAAACGCCAGTCCTCTTCTGGTCGGTCTCTCTCTCTCTCTCTCTCTCTCTCTCTCTCTCTCTCTCTC